TAATCATATTCAATTCAATTAATCTGTTTTCCAATGTGCTTTTTACAATGTAGATTGTGTCAAAGCATTATTACAGAACAAATCTTACCATTATTATTTTTCAAATAAAAAAATGATACATTATACAAGTAATACATTTATTCAGGATGTTTTCGAATAAGGCTGCACGGTGGCGCTTTGTGTGGAGTTTGCATGTTCTCCCCGTGTTCGCGTGGGTTTCTTCCGGGTGCTCCAGTGTTGTTCTGCTGTGAAAAGCTACCAGCACTTTAAGAGTCCAAAAAAAGCATATTTAGGCAAAGTATTATTTTTAACCCTGGCTTTTAAAAATAATATTAATAATAATAATAACGAAAATAATAATAATTATGAATGGTTAAATAAAATAATACTAAAAATAACAATAATAATAATAATTATTAATAAAAAATTAAATAATTATAAAAAATAACAAGAAGAAGAATAATAATAACTAAAATAATAATAATAAATGGTTAAAAATATTAAATAATAATAATAAAACTAACAATAATAATGATAATGAAAATGATAATAATAAATGGTTAAAAATAAATTAATAATAAAAACAAAAATAATAATTAATTATTAAAAAAAAATAATAATAAAAATAGCACCAATAATAATAACAACGAAAATAATAATAAAAATGATTAAAAATAAAGTAATAATAAAATAACAATAATAATAATTATTAATAATTTAAAAATAAAATAATAATAATGAAAAGAACACAAATCATACTGATGAAAATAATAATAATAAATGGTTGAAAATAAAATTATAAAAATAGCAACTATAATAATAATTAATAATAATGAAATAACACTAATAATAATAACAACAAAATAATAATAAAAATGATTAAAAATAATAATAAAAATAACACTAGCAATGATAAATAATAATGTAAAAATAAAATAATAATATAAAATAATAATTAAAAGAACAACAATAATAATCATGAAAATAATAATAATATAAATAATAACAAAAAGAATAATAATTAATAATTTAAAAATAAAATAATAAAAATAACACTAATAATAACAAAATTAATAATAATAATAAGAAATGGTTAAAAGATAAAATAATAAAAATAACAATAATAATTAATAATTTAAAAATAAAATAATAATAATAAAAATGACACTAATAATAATAACGAGAATAATAATAATAAATGGTTAAAAATAAAACAATAGAAATAAAAATAACAATAATAATAATTAATAATTTAAAAATAAAATAATAATAATAATAATAATAATAACACTAATAATAATAATAATATATTTTGTTGAAAAAAAAAGTGTATCTTTATAACAATAAAACTCATAGTTGTGTTTATATGACTCTCTAAGTGCTGGTAAGTATTGTCTTGTACTTTGAACTACAGAAGACCACAGTTTCAGCTAAAAACTTTTTTGTGATTTACTATAGAACATATTTTTTAGTAATTATAGCAGCAACTGTATTTAAAGAGCTGTTTTTGTGTGGCATCTCTGCACATGCTGTCCTCAAACACTGAAATTGAGCTTTTTTTTGTGGTGTTTACAAACAAGAAAGTGTCTGTCAGGTTTAATTTAATGCTGCCACATGGAAGAATTAGTGGTTCTGCTGAGGACAGAATACCAGCTTCATTGTCAGGATTATTTTTTCTGGCTCCAGGGTTTCTGAACTATTATGATGCCTGTTCTGAGGGCCTTCGTGCAGCGAGTCCTCTGTTGAAATTTGGGGGTCCGGGAGACTCCTGTCACTCACAGCCACGCTCCCCGTACTGCTGGGAGATGCTGAAACACTGTTACAATGGCACAAACTACTTCACAGGAGAGAGCGGCGTACGGCTCGACTACATTGCACTACACAAGAAGGTACATTTATTTTTTTAATTAGTTTTAATTTCAGCTGGGAAATAAGTATTGAACACTTCACCATTTTTCTCAGAAAACATTTTAGGTGCCTTTGACTGGAAATTTTTACCAGATGTTGGTAACAAAGAAACACATACAGTTGAAGTCAGAATTATTAGCCCCCCTTGATTTTTTTTTCTTTGTTAAATATTTCCCAAATTATGTTTAACAGAGCAAGGAAATTTTTACAGTATGTCTGATAATATTTTTTCTTCTGGAGAAAGTCTTATTTGTTTTATGTTGACTAGAATAAAAGCATTTTTTAATTTTTTACAAACCATTTCAGGGACAAAATTATTACCGTCTTTAAGCTATATATTTTTCCAATAGTCTACAGAACAAACCATGGTTATACACAACGGTAGGGCTTTGCAGTGCACATGCCTCAAATTTTCTCTTGCCTTTTTAGTGCCCGTTCACTTTTTGATGAACCCCCAGACCCCCACTCCCCTCGCTCTTCACTTTGCGATCACGATTGTTAATATGCTTAAATTATCATTTTTTTAGAGTATCATTGCTTTAATATGAGATTAACTTCTTATTTATGTGGTGAACTGATGATCTGAGACCTTTAGCCTGGACAGACTATAGTGCAGTTTTAGACACATGACAGGTTTTTTTTTTAAATGTCAATTGTTTGTTTTTAAGGAAAGCATTGCTATATCTTGCTAGTTTTTGAATTTTTTAAGCTATTTAAAATTTGTGGCTAAGAATTTTTTCTCAGTGTAGCCAAATGTGTTACAACAACATGAAACCACTACCGCTTTATGCGCATTGAGCAAAGTCACACACAACACACAAAACAGTCAAATGAAGTCATGTGGACATATCACAATATCTAAATTAAGTCATTTTAGCATGCAAAAGTCAATTAATGCATAAAAACAGATTTCCCAACAACAAAATTGTGGCTAGTGAAAATATTGAAAAATGACTAGCCATAGTGGCTGTTGATCAAAAAAGTTAATGTCGAGCCTTGATTATCCGGAGGATGAAGATGAACACAGGGTGGACATTTCAGCAAGACGATGATCCAAAATACAGCCAAGAAAACTCTCAAATGCTTTCAGAGAAAGAAAATCAAGCTGTAGAATGACCCAGCCAACCACCTGACTCAAATTCAATAGAAAATACAAATTTGAGATTAGATTTGATAGAAGAGACCCACAGAACCATTAAGATTTTGAAACTCTGTCAAAATCACTGACACTCTCACTTTGACACAAAAACTCACACCTGAGCAATGCATGAGAGGCATTCTCCACATGAGAGGCGTCTTTAAGCTGCCATTACCAAACATGTTTCAGTAGTTCAGCACTTTCTCCTTGTGTCATTCCATTGTTATTACACACAACTAATGTTTCAGATTGTTTTGGTTTATTTTTATGTTTGTATTGTTTGAGTTTTTACTAAAATTTGGTTAAATTCCATGCCAACAGCTCCTGTAAAGATATTATAGGAGCCATATTACTTTTCATTTAATTATAATGTTTATTTGTATACTGATTGGTTTGGGTTTCACAGTGACGTTTTATGTTTTGGTCACTTGGGCATAACTGGCACCTGCTAGAACATATAAAGCGCGTGCACAATCACACAGGTGTTTAAAGGAGAGAAGGAGAGTCGGGTAGCCGTATTTTTTGTTGACCGCAAAACAGCCACGCAAAACGGCATCGCAAACAGCAACGCAAAACGGCATCGCAAACGCATCGCAACGACACACGCAATAACCATCACTACAACGCAATAATCGGCTCCACACAAAACAGGTATTCAACTCACAAACTGCTATATTATTTGTCATGCTTCAAGTTTACATAAAGTTTTCCTTACAACATCTTGGGCTCAGTGTGTCTGTCTAAAGCCACCAGCGCGACACAAATTCAAAGGACCCTCACTGCCTCTCGAGCGACTTATAGGAGGCATCAGGAAGTCGCAATAGATATTATTCAAAGGGAAAAACATGACGTGTTAATACCTATTTTCCCCGCTGTATTTGACAGTCACATGCACAACAATACATTGATAGACCTTAAAAAAGAAATAAGTTTTGTGGCAGGCTTAACAAAAACTGCTATATTCTCCTGCAGTGCCTGGACTGGTAGATCTTAAAACACTCAAAAAAAAAAAGAGAGATGGAAAACATATTGCAACTTTAAAACACTGTATCTTACTGATAAATGACAAAAGATTACTCGTATTTGTGATTATTGTGCTATGTATGTTGTGTTTCAGGGCGGGGGAGGCTCATTACCCATCCTGCAACAGGAGGTGTCCACTGTGCAGGAGATCCAGCAGCTTTTTCCAGACTTTTGCTCGCTGCCGATATACAATGACGAGGCGGATCCGCTGGTGGGCTGGAACAAACCGCTCACCTGGAGAGCAGACGTCACCTATGCAGCCATGGTGCTTAAAGTGAGGATTGTGCTTTTGCTTTATTTTTATTATTACAATTTTTTTCTTCATTACATTCTTTGGATGGAACAACAAACCAGCAAATTGAAACAGTAATTTTATAAATTAACATTTAGGGCCCTATCATACAGCCGGCGCAGTGGGGCGCAAGGCGTGGCGCAGTAGTCTTTTGTTAGTTTCAGCTTGGCGCAAGAGTCATTTTGAGGCGTTGCACTAATCTGTTTAAATAGCAAATGCATTAGCGCTCATATTTGCGCTCATAGCGTAGCGCGTTCTGGTCTAAAAAGGGAGGTGTTCTGAGGCGCACTGCTGGCGCTTTGCTATTTTGAGAAACTAAAATAAATTTTTCATTAGACCAAAACAAACCGGTCTAAACTCCGGCGCAGAGTTGCGCCTCGCTTACGCACTGCTTAATACGCACAAGAGAGCAATAGGCAAATATCTTTACATATGAAAAAATGTAAATATTAAGGATATATATAGGATATAATAAGAATAGATATAGAATATAAATATAAAGGATTAAAATATTACAAAACATATTATTTTCTAGCCTACATAAATATAAAAAACCACTGCTTTTGTCTTCTTCATCTCGGGAGGCTTTTTCAGTTCATTCATAACAATTTGCTTTTGTATAATGTTATTATTATTAGCAGTATTATTTATTATATCCATATTATATTTGTTTTATTAAAAACAAGCTTAGATTTGCCCACCTGTCAGGTTTTAGACCATATGGGGCACAGCATGTGTTTTAGGATATAACTCAGGTTTTTGAGCACATTTTGTTATTATTGTTCATTTATTCGTTTGCTGGAAATTAGAACTGAATTTAGAAATAGTTTTGAAACTAATATTTGCGCTTAACAAACAAAATTATTTATTTATAGACTAATTGATGTCTGTGCGTAAAGGTTTCCCTATCCAAGAGCGAAAGTGAAAGTGATCCATTATCTCTCATTCTCACGCAGTAGATGCTCTGTTTAACTGTTTTCTTGTGAAATGCTCAGTTTTTCCACTTAGACTTACTTTGCGTCCTGTAAATAGTGAATGCACTCTTGGCGCTACGCAGCTGACTCTTAAAGGGAATGGGAGATGAGACTCTAATTGGTTTATTCTCAAAACACACCTATAACTCATTAAGAAAATAAACTCAACCCTTTTAGATCATGCGCCGAAGTGCAAGGGAGATTTCCCGTCCTTAAATTAGCAAAAACGCGTCCTGACACGCCCTGAAAGCGTTTGCACCTTGCGTTTTGTGCTCTGAGCATGGACCGTCAAAATAGAGCCCTTAATGTTAGTAATGGCGACGCAGTTGTGCAGTAGATAGTGCTGTCGCCTCACAGCAAGAAGGTCGCTGGTTCGAGTCTCGGCTGGGTCAGTTGGCATTTCTGTGTGGAGTTTGCATATTCTCCCTGCATTCCCGTGGTTTTCCTCTGGGTGCTTCAGTTTCCCCCACAGTCCAAAGACATGCGGTACAGGTGAATTGGGTGGGCTAAATTGTCCCTAGTGTGTGTGGATGTTTACCAAAGATGGGTTGCGGCTGGAAGGGCATTCGCTGCATAAAATCGTGCTGGATAATTCGGCGGTTCATTCCACTGTGTGTGTGTGTGTGTGTGTGTATGTATATGTATGTATGTATATATATATATATATATGTATGTATGTATATATATATATATATATATATATATATATTGTATTACAGTCTCTTTGGTGTGTTTCAGGTGATCTCACAGCATCAGGACCTGCTTATCGCCGATCGGAACAGTACTGTTAACTACACTCTGCTGAGCAATGATAACGCTTTCCTGAGTTACCATCCGCACCCGTTCAGCCAGCGCACCCTCACCGCACGCTTTCAGATCAACAGCACAAACCCTCCACACGTGCAGATACTGAGAAAACCAGTCCTCACTGTCATGGGCCTGCTGGCACTGTTAGGTACAGAATAATCAAAGTTTATTTCTATTCAAACACTGTATTTCCCCCAATTTCTGTTTAATGGGGAGATGTTTTCAACACATTTGTAAACATAATAGTTTTAGTAACTCATCTCTAATAACTGATTTATTTTATCTTTGTCATGATGACAGTAAATAATATTTGACTAGATATTTTTCAAGACACTTCTATACAGCTTAAAGTGACATTTAAAGGCTTAACTAGGTTAATTAGGCAGGTTAGGGTAATTAGGCAAGTTATTGTATAAAGATGGTTTGTTCTTTTTGTAACAAACTATATAGCTTAAAAGGGCTAATAATTTTGACCTTAAAACTTAAATTTTTTATTCTAGCTAAAATAAAACTAATAAGAATTTCCCCAGAACAAAAATTATTATCAGACATACTGTGAAAATTCCATTGCTCTGTTAAACATCATTTGAGAAATATTTTAAAAAGAAAAAAAATTCAATGGGGGCTAATAATTCTGACTCCAACTGTATATAAAAGGATTATGATCAGTCATCAGTGTTAGTAAGTGATATTAAAGTTTAAAAAGTAAATAAAATTAGTCATCTTAAATATATAAATTGGTTTCATCAAATTTGTAATTAAATGTATAATAACTCAAATAAAAAAATATATAAAATAAATTATTATCAACATTATTCAATTTATTCATATAAAATGATTCATATTTTTTTTATGGATTGAGCCAAATATTGTATTTAGTGTAGTGCAGTTAATATTTATTCATATCATTTGTGTGTATACACATATTAAGTTATTTTATATGATGTAGTTTTTTGTTATATGTTGTTATTTTTTAAACAGAAAAATATTGTAGTTTTAGAAACTCTATTTAAATATATAATACAATAAAATGTCATATAATTCTGCATTTTTCTAATGCATTACAGTCATTTAAAAACATACTGTGATATAAATGCATGCAAACATAAGAAATGAATCAGTATTTTTTGTTGTTATAATAATGCTATTTTAGTTTTTTATTTAATATAAGTCAAATGAATCTAGCTTGAATGACTTTTTTACTACTAATTTTACTACTAATAAAGTGTCTTTTTGGCTTAGTCCCTTTATTAATCCGGGGTCGCCACAGCGGAATGCCGCAACCCATCTTGGGAAACATCCATACATACCCATTCCCACTCAATACACTACGGACAATTTAGCCTACCCAATTCACCTGTACCGCATGTCTTTGGACTGTGGGGGAAACCGGAGCACCCGGAAGAAACCCACACGTAAGCAGGGAGAACATGCAAACTCCACACAGAAAGCTCAGAGCACAGAGGCTCGAACCAGTGACCTTCTTGCTGTGAGGCGACAGCACTACCTACTGCGCCACTTCGTCGCCTTAGTGAAATTAAATAATAGAATCAACTAATTTAGTACATCATTAATGATTTAATTATATCACGTTAATGATATATTAAATAATTAAATATAATATAATATTAGCCGAAAGTAAGGAAGCAAATAATAATTCACATTCAACATGAAATACTATTTTGTCATATTTAGTGATATATTAACCAGCATCATTCATTTTTTCACTTTCCTTTAGCTTAGTCCAATCTTAGTCCTGGAGGGCCGGTGTCCCTGCAGGGTTTAGCTCCAACTTGTCTCAACACACCTGCTTGGATGTTTCAAGTATACCTAGTAAGACCTTGATTAGCTTGTTCAGGTGTGCTTGATTAGGGTTGGAACTAAAATGTGCAGGACACCGGCCCTCCAGGAACAAGTTTGGTGACCCCTGGCTTAGTCCCTTGTTTATCAGGGGTTTCCACAGTGGAATGAACCGCCAATTTATCCAGCATATGTTTTACCCAGCAGATGCCCTTCCAGTACTAGGAAACATTCATACACACTCATTCACACACACACACACTACGACAAATTTAGTTAATCCAATTCACCTGTAGCTCAGGTGTTTGGACTGTGGGGGAGACTGAAGCACCCAGAGCACACCCATGCCAACACAGGGAGAGCATGGATACTCCACACAGAAATGCCAACTGGCCCAACTGGTACTCGAACCAGCGGCCTTCATGCTGTGAGGCCACAGTGCTAACCACTGAGCCACCATATGCGCCCATACACTATATGATATATTCAAAATATTGCAATTATTTAAAGATTAACGCAGTGGCCTTTAGGTAGTAGGTAGTGCTGTCGCCTCGCAGCAAGAAGGTCACTGGTTTGAGCCTCAGGTGAGTTGGCGTTTCTGTGTGGAGTTTGCATGTTCTCACCACGTTTGTGTGGGTTTCCTCTAGGTGCTCTGGTTTCCCCCACAGTCCAAGGACATGTGGTACAGGTGAATTGGGTTGGCTAAATTTTCCGTAGTGAATGAGTGTGTATGGTTGTTTCCCAAAGATGGAAGGGCATCCGCTGTGTAAGACGTGCTGGATAAGTTGGCGGTTCATTCTGCTGTGGTGACCCCGGAATAATAAAGGGACTAAACCGAAAAGAAAATGAATGAATGGTGATATACTCATTTTTTATTCATTCACATTGCAGCTATCATATGACAGAAACCTGCAATGCTGAAAACGGAAATCCAATGCACTCATTATGGGATCATTCTCATCTTGTTCCTCAGGCGAGACTCAGGTGCAGGCCGAGGTGTCTGATGTGAATGCGTCGGTGGGTTTGTTGGCCAGCGTTCACGTTCCTCAGGTGCCGTTCAGCGCAGACAGCTGGCAGAGCAGCGTCCTGATCTATAACAGCAGAGACAACCAGACCTCCACCTCCGATGATGTCATCAGTCTTCGCATCACTGGATTACCTCAGCGCCAGGGTCAGAAAACACGACTGAGCAGCCCTTGATAAAACGACCTGCTCGTGTTTACAGTTCTCTGCTGTCCTGTGTTTGTGCAGGTCTGATGTATGTGACGCACTACATGGACAATAATGTGACAAACCCATTCAAACTGTGGGAGAGCATGAGCAGACCGGACTATCCCACTGCACAACAGTTCACGCAGATGCGGAATCAGGAGGTACAACACACACACACACTCCATGACACACACTTACTGAGGTCATTGTAGCGTTTTACATCATTTTTATAAGAGTAAGTCAAATTTGAATGCACACAAAACACTCATAATTTAGTTTTTTTGACTGTAAACATTTACAGAACAGCTTTTTTTTCGCTGCTGTAGCTTTAAGACTTCTGTTTTCATATGCACAAAAAATAATTGGTTTAAATCTTTGTGTAAAACAGAAGTACTAGTCAGTTATACAAATAATTACAAGGATATGGCATCAGATGCAGTGTATTGAATATGAATTTGTGTAGAAAAACCTACATACTATTTTCTTGCTAGTTTACTTGTGTTAATGAGCTCATGGTTGTAACATGGTGTTTATAATGAGCCATTCTTGAAGCTTAAACACGTATTTGGGTCAAAGATTAAAAGTGAACGATAAAAGTGCAGTGCTTTTAAAGTATTTAATACACACTCACCGGCCACTTTATTAGGTACACCTGTCCAACTGCTCATTAACGCAAATTTCCCAATCACATGTCAGCAACTGAATGCATTTAGGCATGTAGACATGGTCAAGACCATCTGCTGCAGTCCAGACCGAGCATCAGAATGGGGGACAATTAGATTTAAGTGACTTTGAATGTGGCATGGTTGTTGGTGCCAGACAGGGTGGTATGAGTATTTCAGAAACTGCTGATCTACTGGGATATTCATGCACAACCATC